AACCCGCCACCTTAGGTGTATGTGGCTGGCGCCTTAGCCGCTTGAGCCACAGGCGCTGAGCCCTATTCTTTTTAAATTGTTAAAAATAATTGTTCTGTGTTCTAACTTGAGGTGTATTCTCAAAATTGTTCCATGGGCACTTCAGAAAAAGTTTTATTCTGCTGTTATTAGGTAGTATGTTCTCTATAATTATGTTTTGTCCAGTTGGTCCACACTGGTGGTCAATAGAAGACTGTTGAGTCCTTTGTTTTCTTCTTCATCTGTATGGTTCTATGTATTTTGAAAATGGAATATTGAAGATATTGTGGATGTATCTATTTCTCCTTTGAATTTTATCAGTTTTCATTCTAAAGGGCTCAGATGTTTGGTAGATATATATTTATAGTGGCTTTGTATTTTAGGTGAATTTAATTTTATAATAACCTTTGTCTTTTATGACAATTTAGTGGAAATGTCTGTGCTCTCTACTATTAGTATGGCCACTTCTGCTCTCTGCTGGTTATCATTTGCATGGAATATCTTTTTTTTTTTTAGAGACAGAGTCTCACTTTGTCACTCTCGGTGCCGTGGTTTCACAGCTCTCCAGCTCTTGGGCTTAGGCAATTCTCTTGCCTCAGCCTCCCAAGTAGCTGAGTCTATAGACACCTGCCACAATGCCCAGCTATTTTTGTTTGTAGTTGTCATTGTTGTTTGGGGGGCCCCGGCTGGATTTGAACTCACCAGCTCTAGTGTATGTGGCTGGCACCCTAGCTGCTGAGCTACAGGCGCTGAGCCATGATAAGTGTCTTCTTCCTTCTTTTTTGATTGTACCTTTGTCTTTGACTTTTGATAATTTGTTTATAATGTATCTCTTTGTGAGTATCCTTGGATCCTTTCCGTTAGAACAGTGAAACTTTGTGCATTTGTATATCCAGTTCTTTCCCCACATTTTCAACATTTTGGACATTATTTTTTTAACCTTGATTTCCAGTCCTGTGTCTTCCCCTTATGAAACTCCGATATTTGTATCTTGTTCCACATGATAGTATTTTCCAAATCTATAGAGTTTTCTTTGCTTTTCTTCATTATTCTTTTTCCTCCTTGGAAGTGATAATTTTGAATAACCTATCTTTTTTTTTTTTTTTTTTACATATACATGTGTTTATTTGGTTTCCACTTTTGCCTTCACAAAATTAAAAAGGCTTAAAATTTAATAACAGTGTTTAAGATAAGGACTAGAAAAAAAGCCTTGTAAAGAATGTATGAAGATAAATACATTCAGAAAAGAAATCAGAGGATCGCTGCAATGAAATATTGAGCAATAATAATAATAATGCAAAAAAGTAACATTGTCAAATAAGAGTATCTTTAATAACCTATCTTTGTGCTCAGTCTTTCCTCTGTCTTACTCTTTAGTCTGCTGTTGAACCTCTTAGTGAATCTTTGCTACATTTATTGTATTGCTGTTCCCAAATTTCTTTTCTTTAGTAGTTTCTCTTTTGTTTGATATTATGCTCTTTCAGGTATTTATTTCTTTCATTCACTTAGTCCTCTATCTCTCTTATCTTTTGGCTTATTAAACATCTTAGGACAGTTGCTTTCATTGTTTGTTAAGTAATTCCAAAGTCTATGTTCTTTTAGGTTTTGTTAGGACATTTATTATTGTTCTTTTTATTTGAGCATACTTCCCTGTCTTTTTGTCAGCCTTGTAATTTTTAGTTTAGACTGGGTACGAGTGAAACATCCACCTTTCTCACTGTATTTGCCTTAAAATTATGCAGTGGGAGTCATCAGCCTATTGTAAAGAATGTAGGAACACTCACGCCTGTCCGGGTGATGTGTCTGTCTTTCCTATCTCTTTTTATTATGACTAATATATAGGAAACATCTTTTAAATTTCTTATGTTCCCTAAGAAGCTCATTCCTGCCTTTTTCAGAAGCTTCTGTTTTATTTCTGTGCTCATAATCTCTCTGAAACTCACCTGTAATCCTCCTGGCTCCTGCAGATCCCAGATCCCTCCACTGGTCCAATGCATCACCTCACCTCTATATTTTGAACATTACTAATGTGGTATGCAAAGAATGCTGATATCCCTTTCAATATACAAGTTCAGCGGCACAGATCCTAGTCTTTTTCTTAGTCTCTAGGAATGCCAGATCTATGGGTTCAAGTTCTACTCTTTTCTTGCTTTCATAGGGAGGAGTTGTGTATTGGGAAATGATGCAGAAAACAAGCCTATTAAAAATCAACTGGGATTAAGCTTTCCATTCTATCTGCCTGAAATACAGCATTTTCAAGCTGAAGGGAAAATTTATGAATGTAATGAAGTTGAAAAGTCTATCAACCCCAATACCTCATTTTCACCACTTGACAACATTTCTTCTAAACTCAAAACCCACATATTTAATAATTATAACAAAGACTTAGTCAGTTCTCCAGTGCTCAGGCAAGAACTGAAAGCACACATTGGGGAAGAGCCTTACAGATGTAATGAGCATGGCAAAGCCTTTAGTGTGTCATCAAACCTTGCTATTCATGGGGTAACCCATACTGGACAGAAACCTTTCAAGTGTATCCTGTGTGGCAAAGTCTTCGGGCACAATTCAGATCTTTTACGACATTGGAGAATCCATACTGGAGAGAAACCTTTCAGATGTAATGAGTGTGGCAAAGTCTTTAGTCAAAATTCAAACCTATCACGACATCAGACAATTCATACTGGGGAAAAACCTTACAAATGTGATGACTGTGGCAAAACATTTAGTGTGCACTCAGCACTTAGAACTCATCTGCGAATACACAATGGAGACAGTTCTTACAAATGTACTGAATGTGGTAAGATCTTCAATTACAGTTCAATCCTTGCACGACATCAGTGTATTCATACTGGAGAGAAGCCTTACAGATGCAATGAGTGTGGCAAATTCTTCTGTCAAAAATCAAACCTTAAAAATCACCATGCTGTCCATTCTGGAGAGAGACCTTATAAATGTAATGAATGTGGCAAAGTCTTCCGTCACAAATCAAACCTTAAAAATCATCACACAATCCACACAGGAGAGAAACCTTACAAATGTAACGAATGTGACAAAGCCTTCAGACAAAAGATATCCCTTTCACGTCATCAACGAACTCATACTGGAGAGAAACCTTACAAATGTAATGAATGTGGTAAGGTCTTCTGTCAACAATCAAACCTTAAAAGTCATCACAGAATCCATACTGGCGAGAAACCTTATAAATGTAATGAATGTGGTAAGGCCTTCTATAAGAAATCAAACCTTAAAACTCATCAGAGGATCCATACAAGAGGAAAACCTTACAAATGTAATGTATGTGGTAAGGCTTTTAGTCACATATCATGCCTATCACAGCATCAGAGTATTCATTTGTGAGAGACCCTGCAGACTCATTGAAGATGGCAACTCTTCATCATGAGTTTTACCATTAATCAACATCAGAGAGTCCATACTGAAGAGAAATCAAATAAATGCGATTTATGGCATAGTGGCTTTTTCCAGATTTTACTAATCACACATCAAAAGGTACATCTCTTCATAGACTTTCCTATATTTCAGTCTGATATTTGGGAAAGAATCATTACAATGACATGTCTCTGTTGATTATTGAAGGTCATTTCTATTCCATTTTCCTGAAAGAGAACAAGCACTCCCTTTTGAGATTTAATTTTTTTTTTTCTGTTTTTATGGAGGCAGGGTTTTCTGTGTTATCCAGGGCAAAGTACAGTGGTGTAATTGTAACCTACCACACCCTCTAATTTATGGGCTCAAGTTATCTCTGTCCCTTCTTCTCAGATAGCTGAT